TCCAGCGAAGAAGAACGATCTTACAACCTGTGAAAATGCTTATCACCTAGTGATGGGTAGTTTCCAACAAGCGGAAGTGGCTTTCTTTGACAAAGATTATAGCAGCATGTTAATGTCAGAGAGACCAGCATCTAGAGCACATGCTAGTTGCACCACTATCTATAACACTCCACCAAATCCTCCTAACCCTATTGGGGATAGAAATAGACAAATGAGGATCTTGATTGCCATGGCCATAGCTGCTGGAAGTGATCTTGATTACCATGCAAGAGTGGGAAGTGGTTCTAGAATGGCAAGTTCAGCCGGAAATTGCAGTGTCAGAAGAAATTAAAACAAAAAATTGGTAACACAATTCAATATCCACGCAAGAGTTGAAAATAGTTCTAGGATGGCAAGATCAGCTAGCGAATTGCAGTATAATGCTAAAATAAAAAAGCCATTGAACTTTACGACTTTATTTCAATATATATTTATATTTTTATGGCATTCAAAAAATCCTTAACTTTTAATTTGTATCTAAATAAATTCTTAAATTTTGAATTTCTATTTAAATAAGCCCTTAACATAAATAATTGTTTAATTTGAAATAAGGGTTTATTTGAATACAAATCAAAGTATAAAGACTTATTTAGACAATAAAAGCATAGGGGCTTATTTAAGAAAAGAGGAATAGTTCAAGGGATTTTTTAGTATTTTAGCCAAGAAAATTAAAACAAAAATTTGGTAACACAGTTCAGTTTCCATGCAAGAATGGAAAGTAATCCTAGAATGACAAGATCAGCTAGCAAACTGCAGTCTCAGATGAAAATTAAAAAAAAAAAAAATTAACACAGTTCAGTTTCCATGCAAGAATGGAAAGTAGTTCAAGGATGGTAAGATCAGCTAGCAAACTGCAGTATCAGAAGAAAATTAAAACAAAAATTTGGTAACATATATAGTTCAGCATCCATCCAAGAGTGAAAAGTAGTTCTAGGATGACAAGAGCTAGAAAATTACAGTATCAGAAGAAAATTAGACCCCTTTCTAGGCTTCTTCCTCTGTTGCACTATTTATTTTGATTTGGGGAGGAACACCTTGCTGTTTGAGCAAGAGAACATGAATCAATCATTTTAGTCAGATGTTTGGCTGCTCATTGAAGCATTAAAATGCTAGCATTTGATTGTGTGATCACCTTTCTATATCAATGACATTTTACTATTTTATACAAAATTAAGTCATTGGCTTGTGCGCTGATACTCCATTTTAACATGGCTTAGCTTCATCATCCTCTTAGCATATAATAAGAGGATCCAATTATTTTATGGTAAGAGAATGATTAATTCTCGTTGTAATTCTATCTTTTTTTATATATATACAAATCAAACATGAAATACATAAGATTATTTTTATTTTATTATATATATCATCTTATGCACTAAACATCAAGCTACAAAGCTAGATTCTGATTGCTTTTTTATCTTTCCTTATATAAGAAGAAAATTTTCGTCAAATCACAAAGTGTCATATGTCCAGTAAACTTTCTTTAATTAATTAATTAAAAATTTTTCAAGTGACAAATGGGTTATCGTCATATGGATTAATGATATTATTTAATTTAATCATATAATTAATTAATTTTATGATTAATTAAATATGTCACTAGTTAATTGAAGATAAACACTTGGTTTGACCAATTAGATTTCTTCAATGAGTAATCAATTTTTTATCTCTAATTAAACTACAGTTTGTTAGAAATAAAATCAAAGAGGTTGAGTTTCCCTAAAATTCTCTCTCATTTGATAAGCTGGTACTATAAATACAGTGCCTTTCCCAATCACAATTCACAATTCACAATTTTAAAGAGAAAAAGATGATTTTAAAAACCTAAAAATTTTTCAAAATCTCATTAAACAAACTCTGAAGAACTTGAAGAACAAAGCATTTAGATTTCAAGAATTGTTAAGATATTACTCTCCAATCTTATTTCTTCTAAAGTAAAGAGATCAATTCCGTTTATTCAATATCAAGTCAACAAGACCCTTGAAGTATTCAAGAACAAATCTACTTAACTATTGAAGCGGATTTTGCATTCAAGATTAAGTCAACAAAACTCTTCAAGCATTCAAAAATAAATTTCAACGACCCTTGAAGAATTCAAGATCAAGTCTGCCTAACCCTTGAAGCAAATTTTTGTTGAAAAAAAAGAATAAAAGGATTTTTTTTGTAATAAAAATTTCTAGAGATTGTAATTTCCATAAGTTTGATAAATCAATTTATTACTTATCTTCATTTTTTTTTTGTCATGTTTTTGACACAAAATTTGTGTGTACACTTTCATTTCTCAAATTCTTCTTCATACATTTTCTTCAAAAACCAAAAATGTCATCCACCCTCAAAACTCCAAATGCAAAGCAAAATATTGCCCTTCACAGAAATTTCTTTTTTGTCTATATATATATATGGAATTATATATCTTACCTTAAACCCCTAGTCAAACGAGGGGTTTTCTTTGGCCAAAAACAAGGTGCTTTGCTATTTGATTTTGAGGCCTGGAATATGCTATTGCTGCTGAATTGAATTAAAGAAAGTTCAAACTGGATTTTTCTATACTTAATAACTTAAAATACGATACAATAATACGATACAAATATAATACAAATATAAGACACGAAAATGATATAATTTAAAATTTTAATTATGATATATAATTTTTTTATAAAACATACGATACAGATAAATAAATTTTAATATTTTATATAACACAGATACACAAATCGTTAAATCTATTTAATCTTTATCAATTTTATTAAATTCAGCTTTTGGACATAAATATGATATAAATATAAGACACGAAAATAATATTACTTAAAATTTTAATTATAACATATAATTTTTATATAAAATATACTATATAAATAAACAAATTTTAATATTTTATATATACAAATATACAAATCACTAAATCTACTTAGATATCGGCAATTTTATTGAGTTCAGCTTTTGGTACTTTCAGTGTTCACATTTCTTTTACCAGTGCGTTGATACTGTCCTTGGTGTATTTGTTGGCAAGCTGCAAAAATCTGATGAAATTTCTTTCTATGCACTTGCACCACCTTTTACTTTGATCTTTATTGGCCATACTAAGGTAAATTCTTGGCCCCCTCTATCATATTTGCCTACGTTCTATTCACTTTTGTTTGGTTGGGTTGGAAGAAAACGTGTTTATTCAAATTTTCTTGTTTAACCCCTTGCTGAATATTCAAATAGCCTGTGCTAATATTTTCGTTGTCTATGTTTGAATCTAACGGAAGGCTATGAGAAATTATTTCTTCCAAATTTGTTTGGTTTGACTGTAATATTTTTAATCCCATACTGAAAAAAATATAAGATATAATGTGATATATATATATATATGTAAATATTTAAAATCATATTTATGAAATATTTTTTATAAGATAAAATTATAAAATTTTTTAATTAAAATAGATAAGATCTCATAAATTGAGTATGATTATCCGTAACGCTTGACACTTGATATATTATTGTTACGTCAAAATATCGTTAAAAATTTGTAATAATTTTTTTATTATTAAAAATATTTAATAGTTTAGTGACTATTTTAAAAGCACAACATAATTGTGAGAATTCAAATTTTCCTCTTCATTTCAATAACCTAATTATTAACTCAACCAGTCAACCATGCTGCTGGAGCAGCTGCTCCCCTGTCTGTTTCTATGCTAACAGAAAAAAAAAATGAGGCAGAAAAAAAGGAAAAAAGAAGGGCTGAACTGAATGGATGGGTACCCTAGGCTGTTGTTGGGATATATTTACAAAGTGGGTGGTTATCTTTAGCTTATTATATCTTTTTGGTTCCATAGTCTTTCCCTGGAGAGTTTCAAGATTTAGGTGATGCTGAATTTTACTTGCTTGTTTATATGCTTTAATATGTTTGTTTGATTTCAATCAATAATTCTATAATATTATGTGGTACAAAGTACAAATTACAAACTATGTGAATAACAATTGTCATTACCATATAATGTCATCTACTCTTTTTATATCATTGATAAGCTCTATATCATGTAAATTTTTATCTTAAAATATTATTTCAATCTATTGTTAAGAGTTTTTCCTTTTCTTAACTCAATTCGTGAAGTTAAAAATTGTTATTAATAAGAGTATAAAAACGAACTTTAAATTTAATTATCTTAAATGTGATTAATCTTATAAGTAAAAACTTATTTTTTATGTAGATTTAACGATTCATATATATATATGTGTGTGTATATATATAATCATATAAAACATTAAAATTTGTATATATTATATTTTATTTAAAAGTTATGTTATAATTCATGTGGAAATTTTAAATTATATCATTTTTTTTTTATATTGGTTTACCATGTGATATTTTAGATAACCAAATTTATCTTTACGCCATCCCCTTCCAAGCAAGGGATCCTAAATATTCGAACTCGGATATAATTATGTTGTTCAACATATGTGATATTGATATTATATTTTCACAAATTTCACTTCATTGGTATCATTTCACCCGTCTCGATACTCAAATTGGAAATCTCAAAAAGATAATTAGAAACAATATAATAATCATATATAAAAGCTAAAGCTAGGAAAAAAAATGGGAAAACGGAGGATTGAATGGCTAAACTTAAAATGGGATGCTTCTTTCTGGATTTGTTTTTAAGGTTGGGGTAGAAAAAAGAAATGAAAATGGTGGGTGAACCAAAACACTATCCAATCTGTCTCCCAGAATTACCCAAATTCATATTGCAAAAGTGGTGTTTTAAACCTTGGGCTCTACTGGGTAAGTTAAAGGTAAATTTGATAATTTAAAATATATAATAATAATATAATAAAAATAATATGATTTAAATTTTTAATAAATTAAAAAATTATATTTAATATTATTATATTCATACTAATTATAATACATCATTTTTACGTAAAATATATTATAAATATATGAATTCCTTGATTTTACGTCACACGACCCTGCTAGGGTAACCAGTCTTGTCATTCAGTATAACGGTCACGTTGGCATTTCTTCAACTCTTCCTTCCTCCTCCAGCTCTGCCGCCTACCAAGCTTGGATAGTTTCAAGGTTGCTCTTGAAACTTCTAGCAGCCAACCAAAAAATGGTCTGTTCAAGCTTCTCTTTCGTTTCTTCTTTTTTCTTTTTTGTTATGTTGTTGTTGGTGTTGTTCATAATTGAACCTGATTTAAAACTTGGGATTATTAGGTTCTACAAAACGATATCGATTTGTTGAATCCTCCAGCAGAGCTTGAGAAGAAGAAGCACAAACTCAAGCGTCTCGTTCAGTCTCCCAATTCTTTCTTCATGGTAATTTATTAAGACTTTTCTTTCATATAAATATATATATATATATATATATATGTTTGTTGGGATTCACTTTGCTATTTTGCTTTTCGTATAGGATGTGAAATGCCAAGGCTGCTTCAACATGTAAGTTCTTAGATTGTCTGAATTGTCTTTTAATCTTTAAACTTATGCTTTTTGAAATATGTATGGAGTTCATTTCATTCTGGATTATGCTTCTTTTTGGCAGAACAACTGTGTTTAGCCATTCTCAAACTGTGGTGGTGTGTGGTAACTGCCAGACTGTTCTTTGCCAGCCGACAGGAGGTAGAGCTAGACTCACCGAGGGATGCTCTTTCAGGAAAAAGGGGGACTGATTTGCTATTATGTATGATTGACAAGAGTTTCAATTGGTCTGAATATATGGGTCATATTTTTGTTTCAATTATGACATATATATGATTGACAAGAGTTTCAATTGATCTGATTATGGGTCATCTTTTTGTTTCAATTATGACATATGTAAGTTATTTTTTGTAGTAAGTTTTCAGGATTTGATTCTAAGCTTGTTACTTCATGGTTTTTGTATGGATTTTCTTGTAGTGGATGGTTTTTGCTGCAATGAAAATGATTTGTTTTTCGATGTGATGTCTATTTTTTGTGTTAGCTGATAGGTAACTAGATAAGATCCTTTTATGTATAATCAGATGCCCATTTTCAACTCCCTTTCTAGTTCTCGAGTTCATTTTCGATGGCTACTTGATGCTTCCATGTGGACTATTTTGCATTTCTTGGGTTCATTTCAGATATCTTGTCATGCCAATTGATACTATCTGTGCATTTGTTTGGAGCAATTTGAAAAATCTGATCTATTTCTGCATATGATTTTCTATTACATCTGTTCATGACCAATCCACCAAGACCAAGGGTATGGCTCAAAAACCCAATGACCATGGCCCAGCATTACCGCTTCCTACTTTGTTCTCTGATCTATGATTAAACTTGATTTGTTATGAAGATAAATTATAGATAACGGCAGAACAATTAGACTACTTTGCATTCTACTTAAGAACCTGTAAGTGAAGGACAAATAAGGTCAAATTAGGATCATTGAGATTTGTATAATTATTGATCCATGCTAACAAAAACTGCTAAACGAGGAAGAAAAAACTTGAAAGGAATTATACTAGGAACATGGATTCCAACATATTTACATGGTGAAATGAGAGAACAAAATTTTCTTGTTAGATCTATGAAATTCAATATTCAAATTTCAACACTTGTAATTCTTTCTTTTATCCTCAGATTACAGTCTTCTATCTATAAAAAATGTAAAGAAAACAAAGCATCATGTTGAAGTTGGGATCAAAGCTAATATTTGAGTCTTTATTTTGCCCATGCATGTTTGTATTTCCTGGTAAACAGGCAGGTTCGGGGAACAGCATGGGTGCAAGCTTGTAACAGCGGAATCAATGATATGAGCCACATAGGCTGGTGGAAATTGTCGTTCTGTACATGTCTGCATGTATGAAGAAAACAGTAATCAGCACAAGATTGCAATAAAGAAACAGGTATGAAGCAGTGTTCTGGTCGGTCCTCGGGTTGGGGAGAGCAGCAATCACATCAAAAAAGAATTCCGAAATTACCTGTATCATGAGCAAAGTAGCAACACATGCTGTGATAAGCTCCGATGGAACTTGTTCCTCGTTCCTGCCAGAAGCCTCCCTCAACTTGGGATCAGGGGTCCAACCAGTGAGCGTTGGTTTTGATGCACTGGAAACCAAGTGAATGTGATAATCCATACAGCCATTGTACTGCTCCTGTGACTTGATTACCGGCATCCTAATGTCAGATGCAAATTGCTTTTTATCTACAGAGTCCAATGCTTCTGCAATCCTCATAAATGCATCTTCACCTTCCTTCTTGGATGCAACGGCCTGAATAATAGTGCATTATAAGCGTCATTAAACTATAACCTTGGACTTTAGGTAAATTATATAAAAAAGATGAAGAGATACTTGTACCTTGATAGCAGCATCCACCATGGCATGCGCTTTTAATCTTGAGCCTTGGACAATTTCACCCACAACAGATCCTGCTTCAGGTGCAACAAGAGAACTATCAACAGAACTTGTCCATCCACCAAAGAAATTGGGATCAGTTGGGAGTTTCTGCCATGTTGACAGGGGGTTTGCTGGGTAAGCATTACGTTGTCCCAAGTTACGTAAAGCAGAAGAAGCCTGCATGGAAAATGATCAATCCAAAGTCGTCAAGAAGAGAATTTGGTATTGAAGAAAAGAATAAACCACTTGTATTTAAGGAAGCCCCATGCCTGGCCACTGGCTTCCTTTAGCTGTACAAGTACCGTGGCTATGTGATTCTTGAAAGGTTCAGAAACCTTTAAACAACTCCTTCCATTTTGGTTTTCCAATATTTCATTTTTAGTATTTCTGAGCTCTGTCAGTAAAGCTTCCTGCAATATTTTATATATGTGAAAAAGATCAACCACATTAATGTAATTCTGCTAACTTATATCACAAGATAACATGAACAATATGACATAAATTGCACAAATAAAATAAATTTATGAATTTACAAGCCAAATAACATGGTAAACATAAAGCACAAAGTCCAATTCTAAGAATATAATAAAGGATTTTTGGCAAATTTCATTGAATATATTATGCGAAATCACCAAAGCAACATTAGAAAACAAATCATGTCAAATTGCATGATAACCTTTCTGTCCAGAGCACAGTTCAATTCAGACATAGCTCGTAGATCAGCTTCCCTCCCTCGAATGTGTGCCATGGAAAGGGGTTTACCATGTGCCGCTTGATGTGCAGTAACAACATTAGAAACAGCAGCGTTAGTATGCAAAATGGTACGGTTTGCATCAACCTGGCCAAAACCAAATATATTGTATTGGTTATTGGTTAATATTTAAAATTATTGCTACAGAAATTCTAATTCTAGAACCAATTATAAACTCCCAGAGTATTTGATCAAAAGGCAGAATTTGGGAGGAGGGGGAGGGGGGAGAAAGGAAGAAAAAGAAGAAAACCACCCTCAAATGTGATGTGTTAACTCTGAAATACACCAATATTTCCCAAGTGCCATTAGGAATCAGAAAAAAAGGATAAGTAAATGATACATTTGAACCATAGAAAAAGCAGTCCAACAGGCTATAGCATCATCAGCCTATTTAAGTTGAATTTTCAAATCATAACACAAAGAGATAAACAAAAAACATGTTAAATCAAACAAGCAAAAATCTGGAATTAACAAAAGTACATAGTGTTAGCAATTCCAAAGCATCCTAACCTTTATCGGGTTTGCCAACATGTTCACAGGGCTGGTTGCATTCTCCAGATGCCCACTTGAAGTGAATACCACAGACCCAACAAAATCTAAATTTCCATTCCCTTGAGACTCTTTAGGTGTCACAGAGAATTTATCAAAAGCAAAATTTTGTCTCCTAAGAGTTTCTGGCATATTTTCCAATGGATTTAGTGGCATACAATCAATATCCTGCAATAACATGTCTCTGTGACTTCCAAATAAACAGATGATAAATGAACTGAAATGCCAAAAGGTTAAAAAAAAAAAGAATAACAAAAAAGGCAATTACCGTGACAAATTCAACTCCTAGTTCATGACTGTCAAACTGAACCCTGCACCTGTCATGATCAACAGTAAGTACTTTTCCATCATTAACTTCCCTTGTTTTTGGATGAATGGCAATTACTCGTTGTCCGACTGATAAAGGATGTGCCAAATCCGTTGCAAGTCCTTCCCTAGAGCCAATGCGAAGTTGACTATAATATTGTCTCACAGACTCCCGATACTTTTTAAGTTTTTCCCTCTCTTCATGTAAAAAGCATTCAGAAAACCTCCGCGGTTTGCCAAGGGAACTGTATTAAAAAGCAATTGCATTTGTAAAATCTCTGTTTTTCCAAATTTCTCAATAGTAGTGTGAGAAAACACTTATTTACAGTTGGTTGTAATCTTATATTTATATTTGTATCTCTAGAATTAAGTATTTGTATCCCTAAAATTAGGATAGACAATCCCTCAATTATAGGATTAGTTTTTTAGGAAGATTTAGTTTCCTAATTTAACCCCTAATTAGTTGTATATAAACCTAAGATTCTTGTATAATTCTCAATAAGCAGTTTTTCAATATACATTCAGTTTTCACACTGATTTATTTCTTAGTTTTTCCACATGGTATCAGAGCTTTAGGCTCTTCTTGGGAAGCAAAATTTTCAGCCTTCATTGCCGACTTTTATTTTAGGCCTTCATTACCGAATCCTGTTTAGGCCTTCATTGCCAAACCCTTTCAAAGAAAGATATCACTACCACCCAATTTGAGGAAATGTCAACTAGAAAAATCACTAGAATACTACAGATGTCTCAGAAACAAGAAGAGTTTGACAGGGAAAAGATTGAAAAACTAAAAAACTTATTGAAAATCCTTGAAAAGCCTACTATGGTATGTTCTTTGGGTAAGGTTTCTAGTTCAGGTAAAGCTTCCGATTCTCATGGATTAAATGTCTCGGCTAAGCCTATTACGAGTTCTTGGGTCATTGACTCAAGAGCCACAGGCCATATGACACATTTCTCACAAAAGTTTAGTACATATAACCTGTGTCCTAGTAATAAGAAAATTGTTGTTGCAGATGGTTCACTTACTGCAGTGGCAGGATTAGGACATGTTCAAGTTAATCCCTCGTTTATTTTCAAAAATGTTTTTCATGTTCCTGAATTGTCTACTAATCTGATGTCTATACAAAAACTTACCAGAGATATGAATTGCAAAGTAACTTTTTATCCCTTTTATTGTGAATTTCAGGACCAAAGTTAGGGGAAGATGATTAGACTTGCTAAGGAGAAAGATGGACTATACTATCTTGAGACATCAAATAACACAAGTAATATCAAGAATAGTTTACCTTTGTCATTTCTTTCTGAAAAATCTTCCAATAAAAACAAAATCTAGCTTTATCATTTTCGTCTTGGACATCCTTCGTTTGGAATTTTGAGAAACATGTTTCCTTCTTTGTTCAAAGGATTAAATGTAGAAGATTTTCATTGTGATATTTGTGAACTTGTAAAGCATAGACGTGTGTCTTTTTCAATCAGTAACAAAAAAAGTTCTACTCCTTTTTACTTGATTCATAGTGACATTTGGGGTCCCTCTACAATTCCTAATATTTTTTAGTGCGAGATGGTTTGTTTCATTTATAGATGATTGTACCAGGGTCTCTTGGGTTTTTTTACTTAAATTCAATCAGATGTGAATAATGTGTTTTTAAGCTTCCAAAACATGATCCAAAATCAATTTGAAGTGAGAATCAAGAGATTTAGGTCTGATAATGCAAGAGACTACTTCAACCAGAGTCTATCCACCTATTTTCAAAAAGAATAGACTATCCATGAGTCATCTTGTGTTAACACTCCACAGCAGAATAGAGTGGCAGAGAGAAAAAACAACCATTTACTAGCCACAACCCGAGCCTTTTTTTTCAAACAAATGTACCTAAATCTTACTGGGGGGAAGTTGTTCTCACTGCCACACACATTATAAAGAGGTTACCTTCAAGAGTTTTGGGATTTAAAACTCTTATGGAACTACTCTCACAATTTTATCCCAACCTCAATACCACAAACAATCTCACACCTAGGATATTTGATTGTACATCATTTGTTCATGTTCACACTCATAACAGGAGAAAGTTGGATCCAAAAGCGATTAAGTGTATTTTTGTGAGGTATTCTTCAACTCAAAAAAGATATAAGTGCTATCATCCTCCTACCAAAAAATTTTATGTGTCTGCAAATGTCACTTTTAAAGAAAATAAATCATTTTATACTCAACCTTATCTTCAGGGGGAGACTTCATTCATGGAAGATAAGGATAAAGACTTCTTTTTGCTTGATTTGCCCCTTTCTTCAACATTTACACCCATTAATTCTTCTGAGTGGAAACCTGTTTCTGTTGAGCCCAAGTCAAACACTGAATTTAAGTCTAAACCCATTCCAAATACGAAAAATATGACAAAGGATAATATTGTTTTTGATTCTATGAAGGAATTATAGGTGTACTCAAAAAGGAAAGTTCCAAATCCTAAACCAGTGCCAATCCAAGAACCTGATCCTAACTCTGAAAATGAGATAACTACAGTTTTTTACTCTGTTTCTCAAAATGAGCATGAATCTCCTTAAACTATAACTAGTGATTATGATCTGCCTATTGCCATTAGAAAAGGAATCAGAGAATGTACCAAGCATCCACTATACCCAATCTCTAATTTTGTGTCATTTGACAAATTCTCACCATCTCACAAAAATTTTCTTGTGAGCCTAAACACTATTTCTGTTCCAACTACATTATCCAAGGCATTATCCAAGGAGAAATGGAGGCAAGCCATGAAAATAAAAATGGAGGCCTTAGAGAAAAATCAGACATGGGAACTGATAGAGTTGACTAAAGAAAAAAATTCAGTGGGATGTAAATGGGTTTTCATTGTAAAATACAAAGCAGATGGTACTATTGAAAGGTATAAAGCCAGGTTAGTGGCTAAGGGCTACACTCAAACCTATGGAGTGGATTATCAAGAAACTTTTGCTCCAGTTGCCAAGATGAATACAATTAGGATTTTGTTATCATTGGCTGTAAATTACAATTGGCAACTTCAACAATTTGATGTAAAGAATGCTTTTCTACATGGTGATTTGGAAGAAGAAATATATATGAAGGTTCCACCGGGATTTAGAGGTCATCTAGAAACAAACAAAATATGCAAGCTGAAAAAAGCTTTATATGGCCTTAAACAATTTCCTAGAGCTTGATTCGAGAGATTTGCCAAAGTGATGCTAGCAATGGGATATAAACAAAGTCAAGGAGATCACACATTGTTTATCAAAGGCTCTGATTCAGGGAGAATCACAGTTCTATTAGTGTATGTTGATGATATAATTGTAACTGGAGATGATGAAAAAAAGAAAGAATCTCTAAAATAGTGTTTGGCTAGAGAATTTGAGATAAAAGAGCTAGGGAGATTGAAATATTTTCTAAGAATTGAAGTAGCTCACTCATGGCATGATATTTTCATCTTACAACAGAAATATGTGATGGATCTTTTGAAGGAAACTGGGAAGCTTGCATGTAAACCTGCAAATACCCCTATAAATCATAATCATAAAATTGGAGAAGCTAATGAAGATGCTACTGTAAATAGAGAGATGTATCAAAAATTAGTTGGAAGACTCATTTATCTCTCACATACTAAACCTGATATAGCATATGCTGTGAGTGTAGTAAGTCAATTTATGCATAATCCTAAAGAAGTGCGCCTACAGGCTGTCTACCGTATATTGCACTATTTGAAGGCCAATCTTGGGAGAGGTATCTTATTCAAAAGAAATTCAGGAAGCATATACAGATGCTGATTATGCAGGTTCAGCAACTAATAGAAGATCCACCTCAGGCTACTGCACTTTCTTATGTGGTAATCTTGTGATTTGAAGGAGTAAAAAACAGAATGTGGTGACAAGATCAAGTGCTGAAGCAGAATTCAGAGCAATGGCTCAAGGAATTTGTGAACTACTATGGTTAAAGATTATCCTAAAAGACTTGAAGATCAAATGGGATGGACCAATGAGACTCTACTATGATAACAAGTCTGCAATAAGCATTGCACACAATCCTGTGCATCATGACAGAACAAAACACATTGAAGTAGACCGGCATTTCATAAAAGAAAAACTAGACAGTGGGTTGATTTGTACCCCTTATGTATCAACCAAGGGTCAACTTGCAGATGTGTTGACTAAAGGTCTCAGCAGTGCAACATTTCAAGAAATTATTTCCAAGCTGAGAATGGAAAACACCTATTCACCAGCTTGAAGGGGAGTGTGAGAAAACACTTATTTACAGCTGGTTGTAATCTTGTAATCTGTATATTTATATTTGTATCTCTTATATCCCTAAAATTAGGATAAATAATCCCTCAATTATAGGATTAGTTTTTTAAGAAGATTTAGTTTCCTAATTTAACCCCTAGTTAGTTGTATATAAACCTAAGATTCTTGTATAATTCTCATTAAATAGTTTTTCAATATACATTCAGTTTCCACACTGATTTATTTCTTAGTTTTTCTACAAGTAGGGATACCAACAAGCTTACCTTCTTATGACACCCCACTCAACACGAGTAAGCCTTGGAATGTGACCCAATCCGACATGATTTAAGTACTCCGCAAACTCCCTTTTAGCAAACCAAGCATAATCAATAGCACTGTAAAACCATTCAAAAGAGCACCATCTTCGTGACAGATTAGATGTTAGGTAGGAAGAGAGCTTTTCCTGAAATTCAATAACATCCATAAATTACGCTCAAAATTTTGAGAACTCTTTTGCAGAAGGGAAATGAATGGAGGAAGATTAGATTCTACCTTTAGTCTGTCTTGTGAAAGAGAATGCTTGTTTGGTTGACTTTTCAATGTGTACTTGGAAGAATTTATATCCGTTGAAAGTAAAGCTCTCTTCAGGTTCATTTTACGTCTACTTTGAGGCTTAGTTGGTAAGCTAACAGGGTTTGGAGCAGAAACTTGTGAAGTTGACACCACTGAATCAATTCCAGCCATTTTTGGATCAATATTAGTGGGGGAATCCTCTGGCTCTCTGAATGATTTCCATTGTCTTGAATGAACAGAAGATTGAGTGCCACATTTACCTTTACTGAGATATTTTTTCTCTTCTTCAGCCATGTCCTACAAGACATAAAACAACATCAACCCAAGTAATTAGAAGTGAAGTAGTTAAAACAAACAAAGAATATTCAATAGTTACCTTTGAACTTAAGGATTTGTGTTTTCTTTTCCATGTGTTGTTGGTAGGTTCAGGCTGTTGTTTTGGATCAGAAACAACATTGTCATCTGTAGCAGAATACCTCCCAACTTTAGATTTTCTAGAGGTAGCATCTTCAGCTCCATTGATTAAGTTGAGCACCTTTTCATTTGGCCCAAGGTGCTTAGTTTTATCTCCACTTTGACTTATAGATATAGCTTCAGGTACACTAAACTTGTCATCAGCTTCAAGTGTAATTCTATCCTCTTTCAATTTGACAGATGATTCCAGGAAAACATGGAAACAACAACAAAAGGAATAAGAAAAAAGTATCCTCCCAGCATGCATGAAGCAAATGGACTGAAAAAACATATATGAGTAACTAAAGCATAACTGACAGGAAACCTTATATCCTATAGCACATTCAAGCAGAAAAAGCTGAACTAGAAGCAATTGACACCTACCAGATGCCATTATTGATGTTGGCAACATTGATGTAGACAAATTGGCTAATGTCAGCAGAGCATCTAGGGAAGAGCTTTCATCTACATATAGAAAAAGAATAAAAATCCGATGTTGAGCTTGTATGTGCTATCAAATCTAAAAAAAAAGTTGCAAGAAGACCATTATGCTTTGAACAATGACACAACATCAAATTCCTTTTGTATTTTCTTGTTCCTTTTTCTTTTTCCTGCTACTTTTTGTGCCTTGATTAGGTAGAATTATGACATCATTCAACCTGAGATCTCAAGTTCATACCTCCAAAGACATGCTTCTTGCTTCTCTTCCCCTGACTCCATGGTGAAAGTTCATTTTTAGCACTGGAAATCTCCATATCATCTTTCCCTTCGAGAGCACTACCTATAATTCCTTCTTCAGTGCTGCTACACTCTTCTCCACCATCATCAGACAGATTGCTCTTGATCTCTTCAACTTTGATTTTCTTCCTGTAAAATTTTTTCCCCTTTTGATGAACTTCAACAGAACCAACACCTTCCATATCCATCAAGGGGCCTGTACCTCTGGCATAAGTTCCACTTACAGGTTTTGTGCCCCCAGGCCTGCCTTCCATCCGGCATTCATAGGAAGAATCATGAAACTTGGCCTTAGTTGTCTCCAATTGTGGCAACTAATTGCATGTCAATAGAAAGAATAAACATAAAATTATTACACAGATAATGAGGGCAAGGCGATAAAAAAAAAGGTTATAAACTTAAATCAGAGGCCATATACCATCCTATCATAGCTCTGAATAGGTGAGGATCTTCTGCATTCAGCTCTTTTATAAGGTGTCTGAGAAACATCAGGGGAGCCTCCCCTTTGCAATGCCCCAGTCAATGTCAATGTCAATGTCAATGCAGCAACATGTTCATCATCATTACCATCAGCCTCAGACTTCATAACTTTTTTGTTTGGTGGAATGTAACTTTCAGTGTCATCTCTCCTATTTGAACATGAAACAGGCACCCGAGGGGTCCTTTTCCGAACTGCATGAGTAGGAATACCTGAAAGGAATTCAAACAAAATGAGGACCTCAATCACAGTTATGGAGGTTATTACAACTAACTTTTTGACTGCATTGACAGTTCATGCTTAGTAAACATAATTGTAACTTGGCATTCTTCCCATCGAAACACCAAACACTTAAGAAAAATTATGATTGCATAAACACAACCAAATATTATACCAAATTTCAATTGGTCTCATGGACACTGAAGAACTTTCCTAGGTAGTGAATAAACTGCCTCCACTGCTCTTTGAACTAATGATGCTAAATGCAAACAATTGGCTTCCCTATAGACAGGCAAGAGAAAATTGATTATAAAAGAAAACATTAATGATAACTGAAAGAGTTTTAAAATATGAAAAAGAGGAAAGAAAGCTCCAATATTGGCTTGTCAGTTTATCACCCACATGGGAGATCCTCCTAAAAGAATTTTGATTCATCAAAGCATCTGCACATCTTCCAGTTATTATAATTGGCCAACAAGTAAAGCTTTTGTTTTCTCTTCCCATCTCATTTCTGTGGATTGAACAATCATTGGTGGCACCTTTTATTTACTTTTTCCCTTTCTGATTGATAACATTTCTTCATGATATTATTACACTTCTCATCTCTATGACAGATCAAAAATAACTTTAAGCACTATTGTTTGTTTTTCTTCCCCCCAAATTTTGACAAATTCTACTATTTTAACTCTTTCCCTTTTCATTCTCTTAGTTGCATTTATCGCAAATAAGAGATAGAACTAAGGAGGGAAAAATTAAAGACATGTGTGATAAACAAAGGAACCGAATTAAAGAAAAAGCATAAATGCAATTGAGTTCTAACAAGAACAATGTATCTTACCGTTAAGGCCTGCCCTTTTCAACAAAGACAGGCATCCCGGACTAGATACAATCGATTGGGGCTGAACAACACCCTCTTTTGAGGACCCAAGAGGAACCCTTGCCCGCTTGCGCTTTTGAACTTTCTGGGGTATTTCAGAAGGCTCATTGCTCTCTCTTTCACCATCACTCCCACCCTGTTAGTTGACACAGTACAAAATTTCAACCCTTAGTAGATAGAGAAAGAACATTATGAGTTCAATTTATCTTGAGAGCCTAAAATGGTAAAGATATAATTTGCAAAAATACAGTGCAATGAGGAAGTAATTTTCTTCATAAAAGAGAGAAATATATTTCCAAAGAATAAACTGTAACAAACAGCTTTGATTGATATGAATGCTGGCTCCAGAATTAAGTTTGTGGTATAGCTTTAGAAATTATAGTAATTAACAGCAAAGAAGAGGAGGAAACAAGATTTATTGAAACTAAAAGACGAGCAATCATAAGGAAGACTGCAAATCTCAGAGATAATTATTTCAAAATGTCCAACCAATCTCACCAGGGCACTATAGTGATCAGTCATCATGGCTGTAAGGCCAATCACAGAAGCTATTCCATCTGGCAGGGATAAATATGCCTGAAAAAAATTAAAAAAAAAAAAAACATTAATGTAACAATATTCGTAAGCAAATAGAGTCAAACTACAGTAACTCTCAGACTTCATCCAACACATGAAGGCACAAATGAAACTATATTCACAGCCCTTGAAGCACATGACTCCACATAACCTCTTGAAGACTTAAGCAACGAAGACAAACTGTTTATCCCCATTAAAGTGGTGCATGGACAACCCTCATCCAATGTCAAACATCTTGAGAAGCCATATTAAAGTTAAAAAAATGGCATGTTAACTAAGACAGAAGTTTCATTGTTTCTTTTTCCCCTTTTTAATCTTTTAGAATTGGTAAGCTATCTCACGCACTTTCTTGGGTAGTGTAGAAACAATCAGCTTCAAGCCCAGAAGCACCCAAGAATAGAACTAAGCAATCAAAGAGGAGTTGGTAACTGATTAGTGCTTAAAAGCTACAATTGAGGCCTAAACATACCTGATTCATACTGTAAAGGGCCTCCACCATTTCAGTGGATCTATTACGCACAGCAGCAGCCACCTAAAAATAAGAAATCACAAAGTTGAAGAAAAAAAAAGAAACATGTTAATTATGTTTATACAATTCTTGGATGGAACAACATCCCAATATAAAAGAATGCATTAAATTACAGAGAAAACTTAATGTTTTCTTTTGATATTTCTCATAGCAACAGCAGCAGATAGTTGCTATACCTTCTTCCAATCTTTCCCATACTCTCTATAAGCTTTATAAAAACGCTCAATCTCTGCCTTGCTCCATTGAGATCCTAACTTGTCAGCTAATTTCTTCTATAGCATAGAATACAACAGTCCATGCATCAAAACAACACACAATTAGCAAATGATGTCGTCCACATTAAAATGTGAACAATAACCATAGGAAACCAAGAATTCACCAAACAGCCAAAGGCAAGAGAATAATTTGATCCTAGACCATGTAATCAATTAGAAATGACCCAAGCACTTACCTTTGGCTTACTTTTTCTTGAATTCCCAACATCTTTATCAGGAGAGACTTCATATATACTCCAATATTGTTTGTTCACACTTTTAGATTTTCTTGTTGGGGCCATCAACAACTTTCTCTATCTGAAACATTCCATCAACAAACATAAACCCAAAAAATGTTATCTATAGCTTGAATGAACTAGCCAACATCTTCAATATGATTCTCAGCCAATCAACAAGTGAAAAAGCTGATAAATTGGACACAAATCAAAGACCCCAGCAGCAAAACAAGTGCAGATTTTCTTGTTGGGGCCATCAACAACTTTATCTATCTGAAACATTCCATCAACAAACATAAACCCAAAATAAAATGTGTTATCTATAACTTGAATGAACTAGCCAAATAAGCTTTTCAACATGATTCTCAGCCAATCAACAAGCGAAAAAGCAGATAAAGTGGACATAAATCAAAGACCCCTGCAGCAAAACAACAGCAGAATTCAATACAGTTTGAAATGTAATTTACTTTGTTGATAAATATAAACAACTTTAAAATCGATGTCAGCAATGATTTACAACAAGAAAGTTCTAAATTTTTAAAATTTTTTTACATATTAAAAAAAAAAAACTCCAAAAGAATCCATTAAAACACTGCTGTAAAACCACCACAGAATTTTTTAAAATCCAAAAAAAACCCCCAAAAATGCAGGAATTCAAAAACCGAAATTTATAATTAAGTAGAAAAAAAAGAAAAAAGGCAAAGCCAATTTGGTTTAATCCATAAAGTCACTTGAAACTGCTTCAAACCCAGTAAAGAAAAACAAAAAATACTTCTAAAGAAGAAATAAAATTTTGAAATTTTCACCGAAAATTCCTCAAAAAAATTCCCAGAAAAAAAAACAAAAACAAAAGCCTACTTTCAAAATCTCAACTTTTTAAACCCTAACTCACAGATCGAAGGCAACCCCACTTACCAATTTCCGGCCTTGTTCTATCTGAGTATAAACCATGAAGATAAACAAAGGGTTTTACAGAAAGAAGGAAAGAAAAAAGAGAGATTTTCAAAAAGGGAAAAACAAAAACAAAATTTTAGAGAAAGATAAATTTTTGAGAGAGAAAGAAGGTGGCGTTGCCGCGAAACTTGAATATAAAGGTCGTTTGGCCAATGAGATTATTTTGTTTTATTTTATTTATTTATTTTTTTTTTTTTTGGTTTTTTCTCTTTGTATCTTTTTTGCTTTCAGCGGGTGATTTCAAGGCACAGAATGGGGTGCTAATCACTGTACACGTGGCAAGTTGAGGATTCGGAATTTGGGTGGTCTGATCTTGATGTTATAGGTTGGGATTTTTGTGGATGATAATAGCGGATTAAGTTTGAATTTTTTTAGATTAATTGTCAAATTGGTCCCTACTTTTATGGGTAAATTTGTTTAGCTCCCTTTGAGATTTTTAAAATTAAAGTCATCGATTTTATTGTTTGAAAAGCCCCACATGAAATTGTTTCATCAAAATTTTCACCAAATTGTAGAATTTAAAGGTCGATATATTACATTTATTTAAGTTGTTTCATCCCATAAATTTTTTCGATATTTGAGATTATAAAAATTAAATTTTAATCATTAAAATTAAGAATTTATCACTTTACTAATAAAACAATTATTAGTGTATCTTATAAACATTTTCTTTTTTTTTAAATGAGTTTTTTAAATATTATCATATTAAATTAAATAACATAATTTTTAAGTCAAAAATCTTATATTGCATTATAATTCATAAATTATCTTTTATAGAGATTAAAGATTCCGATGCTCGATAATTATATTTAGCTTTAGTTCTTAAATTTTTTTTTTTTTATGTTCATTTTTAAAAATTACACTAACAATATTTAAATTTAATCAAAATATCTAAATGAAAATTTTATTATACAACTTACTTGAAGAACCAATGCATAAAAACTAATGCAATATTAAAAATTGTAACAGATCAAATCGAGTTATTTTTTATTTTTTTTGAACTTGATTCAATTTTATATATCTAATATTTAAATTCGATTTAATTCAATAATAAAATATTTTTTATATTTGATCCGATTTGTATATATATATAATATCAAAATCAACTCAATCCAAAATTAATAAAATATTATTTTTATATAAAATAATATTTTTAATATAATTATAAAATTAAATAAATAATAAAAATATATATTATATATATCAAGTCAGGTCAAAATTAATTTATCTAAAATCAATTTTGACTTTTTTCATCTTAAATCTTATTAGATTTGAGACCTTATTAAAAAAAAAAATCAACCTCATAAAATCAAGTCAAAACTGATAGATTTAGGTTGAATTACCAACCCTATGCAATACTCATTAATCTCACTAAACAAACATGCCTATCTAGAATTACTCAAATCATAGATAATAATTTCTTAAATAATAGTTATTAACCCGTACCTTCCTTTAAGTCGTAACTTTATGTTCAACTTTGGACTTGCACTTAGAAACTTAAGGAAAGTAGGTACATAAATCCAACTACAAATTATACTAATGAGTAACCTTTGCAAATTCCCATGCCAGTTAGTCCAGGGTTACTGGTAGGATACAACAGAGTGTATGGCATGTTGACAGGACCAGAACGATTGTTCAATGTTTTTTGTTACTGTTCATCTGAGTAATTGTTTGCTCAATTTGATAAAGCCTATTTCCGAAATCATTGAAAGCTTTCAATGGTACTGCATCCGTTGTCCACTGATCAGGGTCGTTTCTTTTTCCCAGATATACATCATCTGATGAATGCTTTGACAGAATTTCTATCAGGGAAACACCAAGGAAAGTTAATAGCTGAGAAGTAATTATGCTAAGGAATGCTCTTTCAGGGTAGGATTCGAGCTCAGCATATTCAGGACTGCCTTCTTGTGGCATGAACCTGCAGCTGAGGGTTGGGCGGTACGAGAGGTAGCCTGCATAAGGGTATTGTCCAAAGTTGACAGCTGCATGGAGAGCTGAAAGCACCCATATAATTAGAGTGCAAGAATGTATCAGGTCTCTCAAGAGTTTGCATTTTAGGCCACCATGGCTGGTCTTTCATATCACCATGACCTTCCTCTATAAGTTCTTTTCCACCAGGCTTGAAGTTCGCGGTCTCGTTGAACCATTGCATTAGACTTGTAGTAGAAAGAGCAATAGTTTTTGACCCATTCTTGCTTTTCTTGTGATACCAAATGTTAACATTCACACTAACTTGTGAGATATTATTTATTTTATTTCATTAAATCTCATGTATCTTATAAATTAAAAGTAGTGTAAACACTTATATTATAATATCAATTTTAATATATAATCGATATGAAATTATGATTTTTTATCATAATATTATTTTCATTCTAATAAAAATCCACCATTTTCGGTGGTACATCATTAGTATCTTCTGAGTCGATTTTGATACCAAATATCACGATCAACACTAATTAACTAAAATAGACAATAACTCACAAATTATTGTAGGCCGTAACAGAATAATTGTTCGATAAAATTTCAACCCTTATAAACTGCTTTGGGTTATTTCAAGAGCCCATTAGATTCAGTTGGGCTAATTTAAAGCCCAAATTGCAAGGTAAAACAGGCTTACGGCCCATAACACAAGGATCACCAATGGGCCATGCCTTTTCTGCTGATCTGGCAAACATGTTGACATGGCTGCCTGATAGAACAGTTTAATGGATCTCTCACTCCACTTTAGGTCTCTCTGTTTTACTCTGTCTCTGTCTCCTTTGTTTCACGCCAATGGTGCTCTTCCTCTGTTACAATCTGAATTCCCAATACAAACTCTAATTCCCACATTTCGAGGCTCTTTCTCTTTCAAACACCCAATATTCCCAGAAATAATTTAATCTTTGCAAATTCCAAAGCATCAATTTTTATATTATATAAATACTATACAATCCAGCTAGAGCTACAATTTAGAATCCAATCTCTATTTTTTTTATTCTTTTCGATGGCAACCACCCACGAGCTGAGTCACTCTCTTGCTGGTGAGTCACTGACTCTGTTTTATTCCAATTCCAAAAACATTTGGTTTGTCCACTTTCTGTTTGTTTCTCGGGAAAATCATTTGGTTCTGAATTAAGTTTTTGTTTTCTTGGAGTTCCGTTTGGTAACATCTGTATGTCCTTTGTTTTTATTTGGCTTTTAGAAATAGAAAATGAGCTCAATTACTGTATACTTGAATTGGGATTAATTCTGTTTTGTATAGGAGTTCTCTTAAGCTCAAATTATTGGAGTTTTTCTATTTTTAATGGTTAAAGTAATGAAATTTACAGATTTTAAAAAGATCTCACTTTTTTTTTCTTGCTATTTATAAATATAGGATCAGTAATTTGCAAAACCAGCATGTATACTTGCATTAAAATTAATTTCATTATAATATATATTTCTCATTTACTTCTTTATTTGTGGATTTTCTATTATTTTTGGAGCATTAGCTTGGATGGCAGTAATCCTACGTTCGTTTTGTTATAACTAATCATCTGGTATTTTATCTTATAGGAATTTGTGAGAAGCACCGTGAAGAATTGGAAAATCTTACATTAACAACTCAGCCCTTAAGAACTCTAAAGCTTTTTGTCTTTGCTGTTTTTCAATGAATTCATCAGACAATTCGACATCGTGCTGGTTGGTTCATGTTTTCAAGCATTCTGGCTGGAATTTTTGGAATTGTGCTCATGACCATTGGTGGGCCTCATGAAATTGTATGATATTGTGCTGTATTGCTTGTAGTGGATACTTCAATCTAAATTATAGAAAGATTATAAATGGCTGCCAGTGTTTTGGGTGGTAGCCTTAGATAAGGTGATGTGATTCCTATTTTCTGTGCAAACGTGTATCCAACCTGCGAGGTAATAACCGTTTTGACTCAAAAGTTTCACGGTTTTATTTCACAAGAAACAACTCACAAGTATGGGTTAAAATCTTTACATATAGACCTAGCAGATCCTCACAATATCCCTATGTAGAATTTGGGTGTTACATTTTTTAGAGAATTAATAGTAGTTGAGTCTTACTCTTTTGTCATTTGAGTTGGAAGTGCAAAGCAATGGAATGTGATCATAGTTTTTTACTATTGTGTTGGTTTGATAAAGAATTTTTGCATTTATGGCTGTGATTTCTCAATTTTATTTCAGTTCATACTTGGAAGCTTCAATTATGTTTTGATTTATTTCCATGTTCTCATGAATAATGATACTTTGGCAGATTCAAGAGCATGTTCATTATGTTCGATTTGGAATTTGGTGGTTGGCACTTGGGGTAGCATCATCAATTGGTCTTGGTAAGGGCAGTTCTAGTTTGTCACTATCAGATTTTTGCTACTACTTCTATGATATTCTAGTTGCTTGTACCATTTGCTTGTCAAGGATTCCATTCATAGTTTCCCTGCAAATTTTACCCTCTTACAATTATTGACTTGTCCTTTCCTGATTGATTGCCCATTGGCTTTTTAATTGTTCGATTAGATGATGAGAAACTATAGTGTATTACTAAAATTCAGATCATCACTTGACTAAATTAACTGTAATCTACTTCCTTTGATACCTTCTAAACACATGGATTTTTTTCAATGGGACTCAATCCATTCTGTTTCTCCCAGGATCTGGTTTGCACACATTTGTGCTGTATTTGGGTCCCCATATTGCCTTTTTTACTATAAAAGCTGTGCAGTGTGGCCGTGTTGATTTAAAAAGTGCTTTATATGACACAATTCAACTGAATACCCGTCCTTCATGGATGAATAAAAATTGCAGTGAATATGGGCTTCTGCTGTTCCCATTAGGACATGGATCAAGAGTTCCACTCGGTAGCATATTACCTCAGGTTCAACTAGAGGCCATCTTATGGGGTATTGGAACTGCACTTGGAGAGCTCCCTCCATTCTTCATATCTAGAGCAGGTTGTAAGGGCACATCAAATACTATTCCATTATAGCCTGACTCTTTTTTGTTTTAAAATGGATTATGGTTTATGATCTTGATTTTCCTGCTTAAATGCTTTGGCAGCTCGCATATCTGGTAGCAAATTGGATATCATGAATGATTTTGATTCTTCTTCAATGGAAGATGGTAGCAACACAGGCAATCATCTGAAACCGATAAAATATCGGCTCCTTTCACACTCCCAACACTTGAACTTCTTCACAATTTTAGTTCTTGCTTCGGTAATCTGGGAACTTTTTCTTTCTTCTTTTCTTCACAATTTTAGTTGTACTTTCGATTTTTATTGTAACTTGGATCAATGGTATGAAAGAGTACTTATCATAGTAGCTACAGCTAATTTGTCCAAATTGCCTGGAGTGAAAATATCTGCTTAATGAGTGAAAGGTGGTTTTATGAATGTTGCTAACCAAAAAATTAGAAGGTGATTTGTGGTAATTGTGTTATACTGAAGCAAAGGGTTGTTGTCGTTCAAGTTTCTTTATAAATTCTGTTAGTAACCTATTTGAATTTGTAATTTTCTAATTAGAGGGGTATATTTTCAGGTTCCAAATCCTCTATTCGACCTTGCTGGTATTATGTGTGGACAATTTGGCATTCCATTTTGGATATTCTTTCTAGCAACATTACTCGGAACATTACTTGGAAAGGCGATCATTAAACTCACATTCAGGTTTGAGAAGTGCTAGATTTCATACCAGGATGTGTTTGGGCTACTTTATTGCTTTAGAGTTGTTATATGTCTCTAAAATCGTAAAATGTAAGTAAAAAGAAAAATAAAACCTTGTATGCGAAAGGGGGCACAGAAGGCTTAAGCATGAAAGTAAATCCTGCTGCTGAGTGATGGGAACATTTATGCTGATCTTTGATGTTATTTTCTAACTTATGTTTGTAATTTCCTATTTGTCATCACAGACAGTTTTCATCATCTCAGTTTGCAACTATCAGCTTGTCGACTTCATCGAAAATGAGTTGATTAGAGCGCTTAGCTTTATCCCAGGACTAGCCGCCATCCTGCCAAACCTTATCATGAAACTACATACTATTAGAGACAAATATATGTCATCCTCTCCTTCAGTCTCCTCGAATATTAAGGTAATATATAACAGATTAGAGTGATTAGTATACCTATGCAGGATGCATTGCGTCTCTGGCAGGATGCATCACGTCTCTGGCAGTATTGCATGCTACTTTTGCCAGGAACTAATTTATGCTTCTGTACTTTCTCTTCAGGTCAAGAGCTGGGATTTATCAGTTGCTTCAATTTGGAACGCTGTTGTATGGCTCATGCTTCTAAACTTCTTCTTTAACATAGCAACAGCAACTGCTCAGAACTTTCTCAAGGAACAACAGGAAAACGAGATGATAACATTGTCAAACAACTCTTCTGAATTGAATCCTTCAGCTTCTAAATCCATTTAGGCATTCAATGTGGTTATTAGTGGTTCTGTTCCTGCTTAGGTTCATCCTTTGCATCATGCCTCGTGAATCATGATTTTAATCTGTCACAATTAAAGTTTTTCGACACCATACGCATTTTTGTTTTTAAATTGTACAGAAAGCTTGAGGGAACAGAAGGGAAAAAGCAAGTTCTATACTTCATTTTTGTTATTGGATTTTGGACATTGTGATATCAGCTATGTTGTCAAACCGCAGCTATATAAATTAAGTTCCAGATCTTACTCGACTGCTGAAGAAAGCAATGAAAATTTTGTTTAGAACATAGACAAATCTGTGATCTCAATGCTGCAGTTTGGATACATTCACTTCGAGCATGAAAGTAAACATAGAGTGCTGCATTATTGCTTTAGTGTCGAATGATTTACAGCAGCAAGAAACATTCATAGTCGAATAGACACTACCTTATGGAGTGAAATGAAATTACAAAGTACTCGAGGCTTAATTCAATTGTTTCATGTAATCACCATAATCACATCTTAGTCTGAAGTTCGAATTTCAGTACTTACAATTTTTTTTCTTATTTTAATTTGTGACTTCTTACGTACTTAAAAAATAAAATAATAAAATTACAGACAATTATGCTTCATCGTAATAACTTTACATGATAAACAGTTAACAGTCTACGCTAAATTTTATTGAAGCAGTCTAGGATTAAACTGAAATTACATTGGATTTTTAGCGCGCATCTAGCAAGTCCAGGATTAGAATCCAAGCACCTACAAGTCCTTCCCCTATTTCCAAGCTACGACCTTTTTATGTACAAAGAAAAATTGAAATTACAAACCATTATGATTCATCGTAATAACTTTGCATGGAAAAACAGTTGACAGTCTATGCTAATTAGGGAATTTTATTGAAGCAAAAATTATTGGTCCATTATCAACCATCAGTTTGATATACATTTCCAACTAGGCCAAGCCTGTCTGGTTCTCCCACCTGAGGTCCGAAGAGAAATGAGATAGTGCAGCTCGGGGATCACCATTTGAAATGGACAAATAGTATTGAGCAGTTCCATCATCAACTTGCATGCTTCTCTTTAAGGACTCAATCACCCTTCTGTTGCCCCAATCAGAGGTCACTCTATTCAACAATGTTCCAGGCTTTCTGTCAGGCTTGCCATCAAGATACATGACTGCCACTTCTCGCTTTGCGTAGGTATCCAACTCTATATAGCATGTCCCATTTATAAGAATGTCTTGATTGCTTATAGGGATTAATAACCTCTCTCTTGAGTAAATCCCATGGTCACTTATCATGTTATTCAGGCGCTTTATATCCATAACCTGCAAACACAAGGCATATCATAAACATTAATTAACTCAACAGTGAGTTAAGTACAAACTTGATGTTTGAGTGCTAAAAGAAAAGGTTTGCAACAGAAAAGGAAAAGGGAATTGGAAATCCTGAAGACAAACTCCAGGTACAGTAGCCCCTGAAGCAGAAAATTTTTGTTGCATCTCTCATTTCAACCAAATTCTAGTTTCATTTATGCAGTCCAAATGCCAATCACTGATCAAGTTATTTCAGATACCGTAGTAACCAAAACCAGAAACTCTGAACCAACATAACACAAATCAAACCCTGTCTAATCCTACTGCTTTTGCCTTGAGGCTTAAGCCTCCCCAATCCCCATATCCACCCAAATCTTAAATCTCCCACTACCAGAAACACCCAAATTTCAAGAGGAATACAGGAAAAAGAATGAATGTCAAGTAAATTCATTGTTATATACTGTTCATATCATATAATTTGATTCAGGCTTTACCATTTAATGCCATGACCCAAAAGATTCACCAAAAAAGAATCACAAATTTCTGATTTTTCCAAGCAAATTCCTTCACTTTCTCATCAAACAAAAGTACCGCCCTTTTTTTTTACCTGAACTGAGTACTTAACAGCTAGACTGGCAACACTTTCCCCTCTCACAATCCGATGCGAGATAGCGAACTTCCCAATGCCATTATCTCTCCAGAAACTTCTAGAACTCGGCTTCCCCATCACTTCCAGAGGCTTCCAAGGAGCCTTGAATGCCTCCACCACTATCTCGTCATCGGAGGCGACGGCGTTCCAGGCCTTGCAAACGCAGCAGGCACGTGCCAAGTCAGTGACAGAGAGCTTCTCGAAGATGAGACGGAGAGTGTCGCGGCACGTGAGAGCTGAGAACTGTGAGTTCATTGGGGAGATGGTGGCCGTTGAATCGTTAACGATGTCGTTTTCATCACAGCAGTAGCTTAATTTTGCAGACAAAGAGATGAAAATTTTTCGCCTTTTTCTTTATTAGCTAACGGTCAGGTGATGAGTTTGAACGGTGGTTGAATCAAGATACACCCAAAAGCCGCGAATAAAATTGATAAGAAAAAACAGAAAAAAATTCAAATTATCACATGACATCATAATTTTTTTCCTTTTTGTATATTAAAAGAAGGTGTTTGGGTAGTTGAATTATAGTTTTAAAAATATTTTTATTTTAATCCATTATTTTTATTAAATTAATAAAAACAATTTTATTGAATATAAATATACAATACAACAGAGAATTGAAAGCATCAATTCTAAACATGACAATGTTGAGCCATTGAGCATGTAAACTACAACAATCATCCACCAGGAATATTATCGAATCAATGGAAAGGGCAATTCCCTTCCTTTCTTTTCTTTTTTTTTTTTTTAACTTGTTGCAAGAAATGGCAATTGGCTCATTATAGTTTCTGGGGTGTTGGATCCGACGTTGAAAGTTCAGCGTACATGTTGGATATGGCTTTTGCGAAGTATGCCTTTGCTTGAGGCCGCTTGACCTGGACAATAACAATAAGCTCAAAATGAGAAATTTTTACGTGATTTCTGATTAAGATCACATGGATTAAAAGTTTCATTCATGCTATTTTTTGACATGATGATAAGATTATTCAGGCCTCAAGTTTTGTTCCGATTTCGTATTACATTCAGTAGGTATTGTTGCTCAAGCAATATGGCCGGTAAACAAAGAATGGCAGCTTACCTTGAATGTTGGAGTGAGAAGGCCATTCTCCACGGTGAATGGTTCTGCCACCAAAGTTACAGCTTTTGCAAATTCAAAGCCTCTTAGCTGCAAAAATGAAAAGGACTTCAAATAAATTAACGGGCCTCACTAATAGATGGAATGGTTAAAAATCACTGGTTAAAATAATTTACCTGCGCTTCCCTTCCGACATTATCCATCTCAGCAAGAACAGCATTCCTCGCTCTTGGATCATTGCACAGTTGTCCTAAATCCTCATACTGTACAAACGCGTTAAAGAGAACATTGAAATGGTGAAAAACATTTTTTTGTGCCCCTAATTTCCACAACATAGCATGGACAGAAAGAGTAGTGGAACAGAAGTGAATACAATCACATCAATGAACTCAAAAACTGAATGATGGGGTTTATAAATCATAAAATCCCCAGGATCAAAGTTTCCAGCTGACTTAAATTGTTTGAGCTATCCTTTGTCATTGTTGATGAACTAAATTATAGACATTAATGGCAACATCATGGCCTAAAAGTTTTGGAATTTTGAATTTCCCGAATTAAATATGACCAAGGGCAAACAAAGAGAAGAAAACAAACCTGGATACCCTCAGATACGGCCCAGTCTGTCAACACATCAGGTTCCACAACAACTATCGCTACTAAAGATGAATTCAAACTATCACCTATAAACATATTAAGCAGTCAGGATAATAAACACTGGTGAAGTTCAACCAAAGTATTTATAATCTATTTCCTTACCATATATAAAACACTGCGAAATAAATTTGCATTTTGCATATACATTCTCAACCTTCTCAGGTGCTATGTACTCACCCTGTGCCAACTTAAATATGTTCTTTTTCCTGTAATGAATTAACAACCATGGTCATAAAAAGGTTCAGCAGAAAGTTTTAACAATATGGATGAATATGATCCGTGCAGATGATTCATCACCAAAGATCATGACAACAAAAAAATCAGCACATCATTCTCAAATGTTTGAAAAGATTCCAAATGTAGCCAACACACGCCCCAAAAACGCACACACAAGTAAGACCACTCGTCAAGGACAAGTTCTTTCGCATATAAAAAGACAGTGATATCTAGATAACAGATCACAAGGTGGATATGAGTATCTGGTCCACTGAACAATATGAGAATAGGGTTAAACAAATATGACCTATCAATAATCTTGAGACGGCCTCCAGGTAACCACAAACCAATGTCTCCTGTATGTAGCCAACCATCATCATCAAATACTTCTTTCCTGTTCAACCAACTAGGCAGTCAGATTGATTAAAGGTTTGCAGATAAATGGGGCAACAAAATCTAACTTCTGAAAAATGATTACGTTTGGACTTCATCCTTGTAGTAGCCTTGAAAAACAGTAGGACCTCTGACACAAATTTCCCCACGGGGATATGGCTCATCCTCAGAGGTGTAATTCATTTCAGGAACATCCACAAGTTTTACTTCTGAAAAGAGAAAAATGAATTATCAAAAATTATAATTGATGTTCAGATACACAAACGAAACAAGGTACATGACAATCAAAATTTTCCAATATCAGATGAATTATATTCGATAAGTTCTTCACTTTAAAATGACTAGCATTCAGATCCATAGAATTTATAGCTAGTGATTCAGCTGTCCCTAAAGTTTGACATATAATTGTATTTTTTCTAGTTAATGTAATTGAATTTTGATTTTAATTGGGTTTTGATTTTATCTTGGCAATTAGCGTGTCCATCTGTATCCACCTAGCAAATGAAATATTTCAATATACTTGAAAAGTTTAATTCACCTGAAAGAAAGCAAGACTACTCACCACAGCCAGTTTTTGGAGACCCAACATGACCAGTTAAGTTGTCCCCTACATCCATCAAGGTTATGATACAAGAAGTCTCTGTCATGCCATACCCCTCAAGTAGTAAACAGCCAAAGCACCTGTAAAATACACTCGTATCAAAGACTCGGGAATATAAAGCTATGCTACTTCAGCTCTTCAGTTTACAATAACATAACCACATCAGACCAGTGTTGCTCATTTGGATGGACATGGCCTTTGGAGTCTGCTACAGTGCTAACAAAGTTCTCAGATACAGCAATCATATATAATTGCCTCATCTAAGAAAATCAACTTACACTTTCAAGAAGTCTGCTACATCAGGAGACAGAGGGGAAGCACCAGATCCCATAATACGTACTCGTCCTCCAAGCTTTTCCCTTATTTTATTAAAGACCAATCTGTCCCAAATTGGCGATGCTTTCCTTCCTGAAACAATTTTAGGAAGCTCAAGCAATTGGAAAGCAAAACATGAGGCTAGCATATTGATAGTATTTACCACTTTATACTTCACATTCTCTTATCATAACTGTATAAGCATGCTCTTGCGTCATCAACAATATAATGTGCCAGCAAATTAATAAGAAAATTTACACTATAAAGAAAAAGAAATTTCAATTATTAGCATGCATACCATTCATGATGGCTTGCTTCTTGGAATTGTAGGCAGCTCTAAATAGCCTCTCCCTAAGAGCACCAGAAGTCTTTACAGCGTTGGTGATTCTATGGCAGCGAAATGAACTAAATAAGAATTGATAAACATAAAATTTGCAATCAATTTATTTTAAGCGACTCTCCACCATTATCATACCCAGTATAAATTCGATTATATAGTCGAGGCACACTGCTAAATATTGTTGGTCTAAGAGTAGCTAAATCATCCATCAGTTTCAAATTGTCCTGAAACAAGAGGGGCATAGACATTCATAAAACTTGAATGAAGACAAAATCAGAATAGTAATAGATTTCTAATCAGTTGAGAACTGTAGAGGATTGGGAAGAAACAAATATATGTTTTACCATGGACCAAGTTTTGAATTGAACAACAATCAAAATGCACTCAATTTATAAGGAAAAAAAAAAGCCGGCTTTCTTGTCTTTTATATTCATTCAACAAAATTGCAGATCTAAATTGTTATTTCATTATCTGTTATTTCTGAATGATAATACATTGAAAAGGAAATAATCATCAAGCAAAAAGCTTACAAGTGAAGATAACATAATAACAATGTATCAAATCAAGCAAAAACTTTCTGAACTATCACTCTATCAGTCTTTTAAAATAACAGTAAAGTAACACTTTCTACTCTATCCGGAAAACAAGCTTCCAGGTCTGTAATGAAGTAGAGAACAGGATTCAATAAGCCAGCACAAGGGCAAATGTCACGGACCTAAGGGGGAGTCCTGAATCCCACATCGAACATAATAGGAGAGTCCTTGGGGTATAAAAGGGTTCACACCATCTCCGTCTTGTGAGGCGCCTTTTGTAGGACAAAACCGTGAGGCCAGGGGGGCCAGAGCGGACAATACCTCACAAGGATGTGAACTGTGGCAGGAAGGCTGATCTGGGACGCCGGAAGGGTGAATGCCCGGGTCCCGGAGCCGCGCGGGTTCGAAGCTTGAGCCTCGACCCGTGACAAGTGGTATCAGAGCCAACCCTAAACCGTTCGATCCACGCCGAGCACCTCGAGGGAGGTAGGCAGGGTGGCCGGCCTCCGTGACGAGGGCGTCACGAGGTTGGGTGCGGGAGAATGTCACGGACCTAAGGGAGAGTCCTAAATCCCACATCGAACATAATAGGAAGATCGCTGGGGTATAAAAGGGTTCACACCATCTCCGCCTTATGAGGCGTCTTTTGTAGGACAAAACAGTGAGGCCAGGGGGGCCAGAGCGGACAATACCTCACAAGGGTGTGAACCGTGGCGGTTAGGCTGATTCAGGACGCCGGAAAGGTGAATGCCCAGGTCCCGGAGCCGCGCGGGTTCAGAGCTTAAGTCTCGACCCGTAACAAATGGTATCAGAGCCCGCCCTAAACCGTTCGATCCACGCCAAGCACCTCGAGGGAGGTAGGCAGGGTGGCCAGCCTCCGTGACGAGGGCGTCACGAGGTTGGGTGCGGGAGAATGTCACGGACCTAAGGGGGAGTCCTGAATCCCACATCGAACATAATAGGAGGGTCCCTGGGGTATAAAAGGGTTCACACCATCTCCGCCTTGTGAGGCGCCTTTTGTAGGACAAAACCGTGAGGCCAGGGGAGCCAGAGCAGACAATACCTCACAAGGGTGTGAACCGTGGCGGTCAGGCTGATTCGGGACGCCGGAAGGGTAAATGCCCGGGTCCGGGAGCCGCGCGGGTTCGGAGCTTGAGTCTCGACCCGTGACAAGTGGTATCAAAGCCAACCCTAAACCGTTCGATCCATGCCGAGCACCTCGAGGGAGGCATGCAGGGTGGTCAGCCTCCGTGACGAGGGCGTCACGAGGTTGGGTGCGGGAGAATATCACGGACCTAAGGGCGAGTCCTGAATCCCACATCGAACATAATAGGAAGGTCACTGGGGTATATAAGGGTTCACACCATCTCCGCTTTGTGAGGCACCTTTTGTAGGACAAAACCGTGAGGCCAGGGAGGCCAGAGCGGACAATACCTCACAAGGGTGTGAACCGTGGCGGTTAGGCTGATTCG